ATCCCAAAAATTCGTATATCTACCAATATAATATATTTGCACAATTTCCTTAGCAATCTATATAAGTGTAGGGGAATCACGTGTCAATTTATCAAAAATTTGAATTTGGACAAGTTACATAGCTAAAAGTACGTGTACGCGTTCAAACTGATTCAGAATTTCGTTATATATATGTAAATTCTAGACCCTTTTATTTTCTACAAAAATTCAAATATATTTTATTAATAAAGGTTTTTAGTGATCTCCAAACAAAGTTTCTCATTTCCTATAAACGTCTAAGTAAAGTTACTTATTTCTTAACAAAAGTTACTTATTTCTTAACAAAAGTTACTCATTTCTTAACAAAAATTACTTGTTATTTAATAAAGGTATGTAAAAGTCAACATAAGCTTTTTTTATTACATAGCAGAGGACTTCTCACTACTTAATTTACCACACAATTCTCATTACTTACTCATTTCTTATTTCTTATATATAAAAGAAAAATTTTAACGAAAGTAATAATTAATAAAATCTTATTCTTGGGATTACTATTTGTAATGAGTTATTATTTATAAATAAAACGAACATGTGTCATTTTATTAATAATATTTTTATTTACTTATTTTTATTATTATTTCTTAAATTATTACCTTTTGACCAAGTGAAATAACAATCAATCAATCGTCTGGTTTCTTTTTCAATAAAACATCTTTGTGGTCAGAAATTAAACAGTAGAGTTTAATTGTCCATTCAGTTATCAGAACTCTGAGGTTTTGGTTATTTGCTTTAATAAAGAAAGCAAGGTTTGATTTTTGGTTTTTGTTAAGTGTAAACGTTTTTGTTTAAGTTATTGTAAAAGTGTAAGTGTAAACATAAAGAAATTGTTAAGACTGATTGGAAAAAGTATTAAGTGTTAACAGTTATTACTGATTGACCGTCTATTATAAAGAGGTTGACCAAAAAGCTACCTCGCAGTATGATCGGCATTAAATTTTTTTAGAGTCCATTGTTTACTATTAATTTACCACGTGATTCCCCCCTACCCTTTAATTTTTATGATTAATTTGGTTCTTATGATGGGTGATATGGTCATCACAAGATTACCCTTATCTGGTGGTATTGGTATTTGTATTCTCATTCATAGCTGTGATATACCCTATGAATTTGTTCATTGATCTGCTTAATAATGAAATAGTATGTTTGGCTCAAAAAGCACATAGTTGAAATTGAATTATTTTAGTTACTTCCTAATCAATGTTGTTTTGTTGGAAACTATTTTTTATTAAATCTTATTAAAGATCCAAATTACCTGCCATTTTTATTCCAGGAAATTGATTGATCAGGAAAATCAGGGAAATGTAATCAAAAAACTTGTGCGACATTTTTAAAATTTTTATCCATCTATAAACTTTTTTTAAAGGTGTTGTTGACTGTTAATAAAATATTATATTAAGATTTAAGTAATGGCTACGTTTGGTGGAGGTTATTATATTTTAGCAATACTGTAAAACTTTAGAAACAATACATTTATAAATAAACAAACTGATCTATAAAAGTTTTGTTATTTATCGATAGATGAAGTTTCAGCTATTATTCTGGATGCTGGTTCTTGTTGGACTCGTGCTGGTTATGCAGGTGAAGATGCACCAAAAGTAATATTTCCAACTTCTTATGGCTACATTCCAGAAGTTGAAATCGGCAGTGTAACAGCTGATGGAGATACTATAATGGATGAAGCAGCTATGAAGGTTGAAGGTGGTGAAGGATCGGAAGCGATCAAGACAAATAAACAAAATAGAACTAAAAAAGGAAGATATATAGTGGGTGATTCGGAAATTGCTACTTGGAGACAAAATATGGAAATTAAAAATCCGTTTGTTGATGGTTTAAGTATGTAGAATTTTTAAAATCGAGATATTATTATCATTAATTTATTTTGTTAATATTATTATTCCAATTTTCTTTTAAAAATATAGTTCAAGATTGGGATGCTTTAGAAGAAATTTGGGATTATGCTTTAGAAAAAAGATTAAACGTTGATCCTAACGAGCATCCATTGTTTGTAACAGAACCTGCTTGGAATACTCGTGAGATTAGAGAAACTCTCACTGAACTTGCATTCGAAAAATATAATACTTTAGCATTTTATGTTGCAAAAAATCCAGTATTAACTTCGTATCCTTTAAATTTGTTTGGTCAGACTCATCATCTCATATACACATATGGATTGCTTTTCTGTATTGAAATAAAATCTTTAACAATTGGAAATTAAAAAATAGATTTGCAACTGGTCGTCCAACAGCAATTGTTTTAGATTGTGGAGCGAGTACTACAAGTTGTGTTCCAGTTGTTGATGGATATGTTTTAAAAAAAGGTTTTAATTCAAATATTTACATTATTCAAAATTGATGCTTATAAATAAGATAAATATCAATATAGTAAAATATGATTTGTTTTAAAAATTTTATAGGAATTTATAAACAATCAATTGCAGGAGATTTCATTTCAGAACAAATAATGCAATTATTGCAACAAAAACTTAATATTAATATCATTCCACATTATTTGATAGCAAAAAAACTCGGTGTTGCTGAACCAGATATGCCTGCAAAGGTAGAATTACGAGATAGACCAAACACCACAGAAAGTTACCATAAATTTATGCAAATGGTAAAAAAAAATCAATTACTAAGTTCACAAATTAATCCAAACTTTCCTAAATTAAAATAATATGTTGCTGATTTTCAGCAAAACAAATATATCTATGCATGTATAATAATTGGCTTAGAAAGTAATACAAGAATTTAAAGAATCTGTATGTCAAGTATTTGAAACAACATATGATGATTTGTAAGTAATTATCTTGTTTTTTTTTTTATTTATTTGATTTTTTTTCCATAGAGAAAACCAACAATAATTGTTTATTTATCTTACAGGGTTATTGCTGCTCGACCATTAAAAAGTTTTGAATTTCCAGATGGATTCAATACATCTTTTGGCACTCCACGATTCAGTATACCAGAAATTCTTTTCTCTCCAACAAACAATACATACCGGGTTTAGATTTTATTGATTATTAGATTATTTATTTTATTTATTTATTTTCAATATTTATAATTTCTTTGTTTTACCAATTAGCTTCAAGAAGGCACTGGAATTGACACATCTTCATTGATGAGTATCCATCAAATGATACATAATAGTGTAGCTTCATGTGACATTGATATTCGACCGAATTTATTAACTAACATTATATTAACTGGCGGAACTACGTTATTACCTGGATTTGCTGATAGATTAAATTATGAATTGACTATGATGACTCCAGGGGTAAAACTAATCTAAAATCATTAAATTTATATATATATATATATATTTATTTATTTATTTATTTATTTATTTATTTATTTATTACTAATCAATAGTTAAAGGTTAAAATTCACGCACCAGGTAACAGTATTGAACGAAAATGTAGTAGTTGGTTAGGTGGTTCAATTTTGGCATCATTAGGAACTTTTCATCAATTATGGATATCACGCGAGGAATATAATGAACGCGGAAAATCTATCGTGGAAAAGAAATGCGAATAAATTAAACATGTCAATAAATGGAAGATTTATTATAAATACATATACAAATTAGATATTTTTAGATAAAAAAAAGTTTTAGTTTTTTTAGTTTTATGAAATGGTTATTTTTAGTAGAATTTCTACTGTTACTTTTTGATTAGAACAGTTCTAGCAGCTGGCTCTGGGGTGGACATTTTGGACCAATTATTTAAGTTCGGAATCGCATTCTTATTTCTTTCTAACATTGCGTTAATATTTTGTGTGATTGATGATTTCAAATCTCTAGGCAGGATAAAAATTTTTCTTTTGCAAAAATTATCTTCCAAAGATTGATAATCTGTATAGTAACATTACCACCATCCTTTTCTAGTTTCTTGATTATGAATTTTGGTATTTGGAGGTTAGTTTGTGGTCGGCCGATGAACTGCAGAAATTATTATAATAACAATAATATATGAAGCAGAATTCATTATAATGTGCCAAGTTAGGAAGTAGAAAAGTCTATGGTGGCAAAAATTTCGGATGATCTTCTGCATTGGAATAGGTCCAATTTTGGGATGATGACATTTTATAAACCACCACCACCACCATTATTATTACTGTTACTGTTACTAAATACTTTTATTGTTATTATTATTACACTTTATGTTTTTATCATCATCATATTATCATCTCTATCTGACATTTATTGTTGTGACCGCTTATACGCTTCCAAATATTGAAGTTGTGGAAATATTGATTTTTTCAAAGATCATTTTTATTAAACTTTACAAAATACAAAATTTATAACAATCAATGGGAAACAATCTTGCAACTAAATCTTGTGGTAAATCAGAAGATGAAAATGTTAAAGAGAACTATTAAGTTCAATCGGATAAAAGAATATGTGATTGTTGTTGTTGCAAAATAGTGTCACCATCACTAAAAAAAATAAATGCTTTAAGACAAAGATTTCCTTTTTAAAATACTTGCCAGAATAATTCTCATTGATTGCGAACTTTGAAAAAAAAACTTTTGATGGAAAAAAAACATATGTGAAATTCATTCATTTGTAAATAGATGCTTTGCGCCGCCAGAATGTTTTAAGGTAAACCTTCCTTTTCGTCACTATGTTTGTGTTGGTGAATCGGATATAAAATAGACGAGTTTATTGCTTCCTCAAATAATTTTCCGTCAATTTTTAAATTCTTGTCAAAAAATAAACTTAAAAATTAATGAACAAATGAATTCTTGTTCGTTTATTTCGATTTTGATATTGTTCTTATTTATTATTATGAATTTCATCATGTCTTTGTGTGATGTTTACGAAAATATTTAATTTTAAAATTCATTGAATTAATTTAACGACAACTAACGTCGTCCATTATTAACTTTCGTTTCAGGCATCACGGCACCTACCCACGCTTTACCTGGTAAGCTGCGAACGAGCATTACGATTCTTTATTTATTAATTTTAAACTTCTAGATGAAATAAAATTTTTATTCTTTTGTCATCAGATGGGAAGAGTAAGATGTGGTTATAACGAACCAACAATTCAAAAAAAAAAAAAAAAAAAATCAAAGCATATGTGATATAGCAAGCATGTGTTTACCCATGCCCACAATGATTAAAATACCAATTATTATCCATTGAAACATCATCAGTTGACATTCTAAAAGTTTTTTTTAAAGCTCCGAACGGTTCGGTTTGGTTCGATTCACATTTGACCCAAAAATTTCAGACATATTAAATCCGTTAACTACGCAAAATATACATAATAACTTCAAAAAATTTATAATAACTTGTAGCTTAGTTTTAGCGAATGCGTTGCGAAGCAGAGATGCTGGAAGGATCCTGTTTCTAATTACATACATAATCTAATTTTTATACCATGGTAACGATGGTCCATTTCTTACCGAATTAGAATGGAAAAATTTGTACCTTTAGAGTTTCTATTCGTAATACAAATTCTTATTCGAATTATTCGTTTATTCACTTTATTCTATTCGAATTATTCGTTTTATTCGAATTATTCGCATTTGTTCTATTCGCTCTATTCTCGTTTCATTCGAATTACTTGTTTCATTCGTTTTATTTGTTTTGTTCGTTTTTTCACTTTATTTGTTTTGTTCGAGTTACTTGTTTCATTCGTTTCATTCGTTTAATTCGACTAAACTTTCAATTTCATTCAAATACTCAAATTCATAGCGAACGAAACAAATAATTTGAATGGAATCCTAAAGACGTTCTATTTCTTCAATTCATATATAAGAATCACCGTCTCCGCAAAATTTTAAACTCATATTGTTTCAGGTTCTAAAACACAACGCCTTTGAGTGTGACTCCAGAAAAAACTCGTTCACTGGTTGTTATTAGGTTAGAAATTAATAAATTTAATCCTAAATAAGCAGAGTGCAAAAATCAGAATACCAAGAACTGCCAAGTAATTTTTAGCCTAAAACCCATTCAAACCGAACCGAACCGTTCGGAGCTTTAGTTTTTTATAACTTGTATATATTTGTTGAATTATGTGATTCATGAGTTTGTAATATCAAGAAGGAGATTTTTTGACATCCATAATCATAAATAAATTGTCATAAAATTCCATATTAGTATTCTAATTTTTTTTTGTAGTGTATGGATTCTTCCACACCCTCCGCACTTGACAAAATAATTGTGAAAATTTAAGCCATTTTTAAATGGTTTTAAAAGCAGTTGAACTTTTCACATCCTTATCACCAAAACTAAATAACATCAGGATGCAATATTTATCTATAATTAGTAAAATACATGATAAGCATTTAATTTCTTCAAGATTATTTTCATTTTGCCAAGTCTTTTCTCAATTGCCTTAAGAACATTTTTAAAACCATTTTCATTTTGTTCCAATTTAAGCTTAATGATATCCAAATCATTGTCTGGTTTGGACTATCAACCATACTTCTAAGTTGGTCAGAAATAAATGGCAAGTAATCTGGATCTTTAGACTTTCGCGCACCCATATTTTAATTTAATTTAGCCAGGATCATCGACAAGCATATAAATATTCCATTTTGAGCATATGACACAAGTCACGCGATAATTTTTTTATACATAGATCAAAAGCTTTGATTAGAAAAATGGTATTTTTTATTAATCGTCATAATGCAACAACCTTTCTTGCTTTTTTTTTTATTTTTTTTGTCTCAATTACTTATTTTCAATTTTGTTGATAATAAATAAAGGGTAAAGCAAAAAAAACTAGAAAATTTGCACAAGTTAAACGTTTATTAAATCCCAATGATTCAAGATTGTAAGAGCTTCAATATCAGTTAACAATAATGATGACTATAATATGTTATTTTTTTAACAAAGTTTTAACAATTGATTTTAGAAAAGCAGTACAAGAAAAACAAAAAAAAAAGGAAGAAAAAGAAAAGGATTTGGTTAGAAACATGCAAGTACCACTTTCAATATCTTCACATCTTTTTATTGTCACTGCAAAAAAAAAAAAATAACAAGTTTATTTTTTATTTCCTTTACTCTAAAATTAAACAAATAAATAGTCCACAAGTTGCATCATCACTTTTCTTTAGACATAATACAGCTTTAGGTCCACCATATCATATATTAGTCGATACAAATTTTATAAATTTTTCAATTCAAAATAAATTGGAACTTATACAAGCTATGATGGATTGTTTATATGCTAAATGTAAGTTGATACAAATTTATATTTGTGTGTGTATGTACATGTGGGGTGTGTTTTTTCGTGTGTAGGTGGTTTTTATGTGTATATGGGTGTTGGTAGATATTAATCTTTTTTTTTGATTGATTGATTGTTAGGTATTCCGTGTATAACAGATTGTGTAATTGCAGAATTGGAAAAATTAGGTCCAAAATATCGAATTGCATTACGGTAAAAAATTCGAAAAAATTATAATCACTATCATCATTATCATAACATGCATTTGTAAAATTTTTTAATTTTTTTAAAAAAAATATAATAGTGTTGCAAGAGATCCTAGATTTGAAAGATTCAAGTGTACACATAAAGGCACATATGCTGATGATTGTATAGTTCAAAGAGTCATTCAGGCAATTAATTAATTCACTATTAAATTAAATTATAATTAAAATTTTAAAAGTTGTTTTCATCTTTTAATAATCTTTTTTTTCTTTTTCTCTAATAAATTATAGAATAAATGTTATATAGGCGCAATTTGTGATTAAGATTTGAGATAACGGTTTCGTAAAATACCCGGTGTAGCTATTATGTATATATCAAAAAGAAAGTATACAATAGAAAGGTTACCTGAAACAATTTAATTTAAATTGGTAAATTATAATCATAAATGAATGAATGAATGAAATTGTTTATTTTTATTTTATTATTAATGTAATTTAATTTAAACTAAAAAAGATATAATACAATTTTCTTTTTTTATATCAAATTAATTGTTTTTGTCTAAATATTTATATATTGGTTTAACTGTTCGTATGTCATTCCTCAAGATCTGCCCAAATATACTAGTGTAATGGCTAAATTTAACAATTTATTATTCAATGACTTATGATTGATTATATATAAAGAGAAGAAATTATATATATATATGATATATGTGATACTGAAAAATTCTATATAAATTATGTGCAGACGTTTGCCATAATTGCCTCTCAATATTAATAAATGATTGTCGCAATTTTAGGGTGTCAATGCTGAATTGTTGTAGTTCAGGTAAAATTTAATTTTTTCATATATGTATATATAAATCTAAATATATTTAATATATTTTTGTGATACATAATTTGTGGCTGAAAAAAAAAAGTTCTTTAAAAAAAATTTTTTTTACAAATATACAAAAACCACAATGGAAAACATTTTGGATGAAAATAAACATCATGATGATACTTCTAATGATAAAAACGATGAATATTCTGATGAAAGATATGAATGGTGTGGGGAATGTCCAACTTGCAATAAATATAATACTAGTTATTCATGGTGTCAATCATGTGATCCAAAGTTATTAACTGAAGGATGGACTAGTGGCAATGAAAC